CTTTGCTGTCACTTTTTACTGTAAGCACCACACTGTCCCACATTAAAAATGAAATTTGGTTGCCTGCTCTCAAAAGGAAGTATATACCTACCCATACCCATATATAACATACACATGGGAGAGAGGGAGAGAGGGAGAGAGAGAGGGAGGCAGGCAGGCAGGCAGGCAATGTATCTATCAACCTTTCTATCATCTCTATCATTCATCCATCCATCCATCCCATAGATATGTGGGGTTTCTCTAGCAGTGGTGGCTCTTCTGGCCCAAAGGACCCATCCATAGATTTCCACTGCTCTCCTCTCCTCTCCTCTGCCTTCTGTGCATCTGCGCGTCAGGCACTGGGCCCAGCTGTTCCTCCTCTTCCTCAGCCACCTCCAGACCTGAGAGCTGTTGACTCTTCATCTGAGGGCTGACGGGCGGCCCAGGCTCCGCCGCTGTCTCCCTCTCTGACAGCTCCATTCCCTCTTCCCCCTCGGAGCTCTCAGGTTGCCTTGATGCTGACCCTGACTTCCCGCGCCTCCTGCTCCTCCTCTGATTCGGCCGCTGGAGGGGCCGGCGGCCGACAGGCCACAACCGGTGACCCTGTAGAGAGGCGATTAGGGTCCCACAAGAGAACTGTTTCCTGGTTACGTGCCCCGCCTATCAACGTCCTCCCTTTTCTCTGCCCCACAGCGAGCTGGATTATTACGACTCCCCCAGTGTCAACGCCCGGTGCCAAAAGATCTGTGACCAGTGGGACTCCCTGGGGTCCTTGACCCACACGCGGAGGGAAGCGCTGGAGGTGAGGAGAAGATGGCCCTGCCGCGGGAGGAGGCGAGCGAGTGAGCACGGTGTCAGGAGACCTAACCCTTTTTTTTTTGCCTGTTTCTCTTTCCTAAGAAAACAGAGAAGCAGTTGGAGACCATCGACCAGCTGCATCTGGAATACGCCAAGCGAGCTGCGCCCTTCAATAACTGGATGGAAAGTGCAATGGAGGACCTCCAGGACATGTTCATTGTCCATACCATAGAGGAGATAGAGGTACCCAGGCTGTCCACCGAGTTTTCCTAGCCTCTCTATGGTAGAAGAATCTGGAAATATCTACCTGGGCTTCAGCTGAGAGAGAGAGGGAGGGAGATAAGTGGGGCTTAAGGGAGATTAGCCAACATGTCTGCTGTCTGATCCAATTGTGTCATCCATCCCACTTAGTTTTAATTAGCAAAGAAAGACTCCTGGCTCATTCCTTTTTCCAAGAGTATTAGAATACTTCCCTGAGAACCAGGCGGTTACAGATTAGAGAAGGGAGAATCCATTGCCTTGGCGGGAAAACGATGCAATTAACTTTCCCTTTTCCCCCTGGCCATCCCGTTTGTTCCCAGTCAATGTCCAATTAAAAGTTTCTTAGGTCGGTTTAGAAACAGACCCTGTGTTTTCACCTTTCCTTTTGCTGACCTGATTGGTGATCCTCGATTGATTCAGCCTGTATCGGCTGCATTCCTGCTGCAACTGTTAAGCGGTTCTTGGCTGTCTGCCCAGAGCTATTAACTGAAGGGAGAGAAAGGGGGGTGGAAAAACACCTCTCTTGCACTTTATTTTTAGCCGGTTCTCTGAACTGCATCAACAATTAACGGTTCAGGCGAACTGGTGAGAACCAGCTGGATCCCACCTGTGATCCTCATGGTCTGCTTCAATCCCCCCCACCCCCAACCACCCACATGCCAATCTCTCCCCCTCCCGCCATTGCAAATGTCAGGCTGGCAAGACGCAATGCGAAGCAAGTAAATGGCAGGCGTGACGCAATGAATTCCCAGCCTAGTTTCTTAAAATTAAAAATCTTCTTTAATTTTTCCCCCTGGGGGCCTAGTTTTGAAGGAGAACGTGCAAAGGTTGAAAATGATGTGTTAAAATCAGTTAGTTTGTGTTACACTCTTACTGTGCTACGTGGCTACAAGGGGGCTGGAGGAAGGCTGGGTTTTTTTTAAATAAATACATATACTGGATATAAAAACGTAAAGGCCCTAAGTATAGGAGCATCAGGTTCTTGAAAATTAAAAAGATTACAGAACTAGAAAAATGCCAAGTAGAAAGTGAAGTCCTTCAATGAGGGGCCAGACTTTTGATAGTTTTTAACAAGAAGTAAGAGAACCTTCGGCGACTTACGAGTGCGAACTCTAGCTCCAGATGGACATTTTTCTAGCTGGCTTCCGTCCCATCCCAGAATTTCCGGGAGGGAAAAAAAATCCCACCAGGATTCCAGATGGGATTCATATTTCCCCTCGCGCTCTGTCCCGCTGCAAATGGAAGAAATCTGGGAGACATCTGGGATTCCCACCCAGACAAATGATGGCCGCAGGGGTTGAACCCGGGGGCGCTATTCGCGTCTTTCTGGGTGTGAGGCTGTGCTGAAACGATCTGGTTCCTTTCCAGGGCTTGATTGCTGCCCACGATCAGTTCAAATCCACATTGCCTGATGCTGACAGAGAAAGAGAAGCCATCCTGGGCATCCAAAGCGAAGCGCAGAAGATCGCAGACTACAACAACATAAAACTCTCTGGGAACAATCCTTACACTTCGGTCACACCTCAGATCATCAACTCCAAGTGGGAAAGGGTGGGTGCTCCCTGCGCTTCCCGGACTGTCCGGTGTGCATGCTCAGTGGGCGGAGCTGAAGGCAGAGTCTGCCCGCCTTGGGTTGCAACCCGAGGTCTCTCTGAGCCCGGGGGTGGGGGAAGCTCAGGAGCGTCGCCTTCAACGATGACTCTCTTCCTTTGGGTCCAACAGGTCCAGCAACTGGTACCCAAGCGGGACAGCGCCCTTCAGGATGAGCAGAGCAAGCAGCAGTCCAATGAACGCTTGCGCCGACAGTTCGCCAGCCAAGCCAACATCGTGGGGCCTTGGATCCAGACCAAGATGGAGGTGAGAATTCCTTTGCCCAGGAATCCGAGCTTCTTCTGGCAAGAGAAGCCAGTTGTCAGGATTCCGGCAGTTACTCCGATTAAATCATGAACCTCGAGCCACACTCCCAAAACTAAAAAAGATTTATTTGAAGCTATCATTCTACGTCTGGCATTTATCTGGGCGTAGCCAACTCTGAGATGCGTAATTCACTGTCACCCTTGATCCTGCTTTTCCCCCCTCACCGAAAAACCGTCCATAGCCAAGAGTCATCAATCTCCAATTAGATTTTTGCTCTGCAGAAGCTTCAGTCATCTAATCAGTCTTTGAAGAAAATATGAATGGAATGTACTTACGAGTCCACACTGCCGCCTGCTCTTTGAAACTCCCCCCCCCCCCTTCTTTCTGTTGTCAACTTAAAAACCATGTAAAAAAATGTTTTATTGGTTTAAACCAGTTTTTCTATGCCTATTTTGGGGTTGCCAGGAAGGGGGGGGGGGGGGGATTTGAAGGAACAGTGCGGCAGTTTAAAACCGAAAGTGCATTCCATTCTTATCTTGCAAAGATTGTATCTAAGCTACCAGTATTTCTGCCTCGAAAATCTCTTAATTGGAGAATGTGATTGATGACTTTCAGCTATGAACGTGTTTGTTGGAGAATATGAATTATGATGCACCCAAAGGGGTGGAGGGGAAACCAGGGTCAAGGGTGACAGTGAACTACATGTCTCAGAATTGGCTTCAAACAGGTCATGCCAACACATTCACTCCTCACAAATTCTTAGTAGTTTTTGAAGCTTGGCTCGAGGCTCATGATTAATTAGGGAAACTGCCGGAATCCTGACAACTGGATTGCCAACCCAACGAAGGGCACCGGTGGTTAAGACGGCAGGGCCCGTGGGTCTCTCTTTTTTACATGAGCCTTCCAAGTGATGTGTCAACCCAATCCCATTGGCCTTCCCTTGACCAGGAGATTGGGCGCATCTCCATTGAGATGAACGGCACCCTGGAGGACCAACTCAACCACCTCAAGCAATACGAGCTGAACATTGTCGAATACAAACCCAACATCGACGTCTTGGAACAGCAGCACCAACTTATCCAGGAGGCCCTGATCTTCGACAACAAGCACACCAACTACACCATGGAGGTGAGGACACAGCCAAGTGTGTGTGGGAGGTCATCTATGGGGAAGGTGGATGGGTCACCTTGGTGAAGGTCGGTAAGAGGAGGAACTTCCCATGAGAGTCCGGGTCCTCACAACAGCTTTTATCCTGCACATCGTCCGGACTAAGGCTGGAGCCGGGCTGCAATTTTAACACACAGCTGAATACGCACCAGAAGGATGTTGTGTATGTACGCACATCTGAACGTGCTCTCAGCAGGCCTCCTCCTCCTTGTGTTCTCACCAGCTGGGTAGATGCAACTTTGACCTCCTTGTTTGAAACGTGCTCGGGTGTTGTTTTCCCTTCTCGCCACTTTAGCATGTGTGCGTCTGTTAAACAAGCAGATGCTTTGCTCAAAATAACTTTTCATTCAGACAGGAGAAAAATGTAGAGCGGCTTAAAAAGAAAGTCAGGCATAAGGAACCTCAGGCTGTTGCCTGGGCCTGTTGAGCCCCTGTTGAGGGAAGGACAAGTGAGGACAAACGGATTAATTCATTCTGTTTGTTTCTTGGTTTGTTTCCCCCCCTCTTCCTTTCATTTTTACGTCCAGCACATCCGGGTTGGATGGGAACAGCTCCTCACCACCATTGCCCGGACCATCAACGAGGTGGAGAATCAAATCCTGACCCGGGACGCCAAAGGAATCAGCCAGGAGCAGATGCAAGAATTCCGGGCCTCCTTCAATCATTTTGACAAGGTACCCGAGTAGGAGAAGCGAGAGAGAGCCGGGTGTAGGGAGGGAACCTCTCTCGTGTAGCCCATTTACATGTGTGCATGTTACCCACACGGCCTTCCCGTCCCTTTGTAAGTCTCTCGCTCTCCAAAGGAAAGCTGGGCAGTTGTGCAGCGTTTCTTATATATTATATATATTTTTAATTATTACCTTTATTGTCAAAGTACAACCTGTGTACAATGTGATTGGCTGAGCCTCCCTTTGTGCACACACACACACACCCAACACAACTCACAGCGAGGACAGAAGTCCCTAACCCAGTCCCAATCTTATGACACTGTGTGACTTTGTTGCACAAAAGGGTGCCGCCGACTTGGTGGTGTTTTAAGTTGGGCATCTTAACTGGAGGTTTTCAAAAATAGATCGGACAGCCATTTGACTGGGATGGTATAAGGCTCCTGACTGGAGCAGGGGGTTGGACTAGAAGACCTTCGAGGTCCCTTCTAGCCCTATGATTGTATGATTTAGTCTGCCTCTCAAGGATATTGCCGAGATGCGTTGGTTTGTTTTTACTCCTAGATACTGCTAGTTATTATCTTAAGTTCCAGCCGCGTAGATCCTGTCTTTAAAAAAAGGGAAGCCCAACCTGACACCGTCAGGATCATCCAATTCTTCTGGATCAGGATTATAATATGCAGGGGGGGGGGTTAGCCCAAGTTTTAAGACCCCCTCCCCCCAGCAGCCTCCGTCCACCTGGCTGGTACGAAACAAAACAGGCTCTCAGGCTGTCCCACCAAGATATATGAAACCTGCTACTAGCCACCCTTCCCCTGGACCCCATAACGAGGATCCTTTTGGGTCAAGCGATGCCAAGGCCATCCCATAACGCTCCTGGCCTTGGCCTGTCACCTAAAAAGAGCTCGGGGGGAGCTTGATACAGCCCCCCCAGCCCAAGCGTTGGGGTGCAGATTGTGCTGCCCAGGCACAGACTGTGGCCGTGCAGTTCCGGGGCGTTGGAGCCCCTGTTGGCAAAGTTTCCTTCTTCCAGCTGTGGGGGGACATGGTAGAGCAGGGAGTCTCCAACCGTGGCAAGTTTTAAGACTTTGGACTTCAACTCCCAGAGTGCTTCAGCCCGCAAAAGCCATGAGGGGATAGAGCCCTCAACAAAGCTTTCCCTCTGAAGGGGCTTTTGTGTTTCTCGAGCTCAGGTACTTGAAGACGAGTGGACTTCCAACTCCCAGGATTTTCCCCAACAGCACATGCTGGCTGGGGAATGCTGGGAGTTGAAGTCCACCCGCCTTTAAGTTCCTGAACTAGACAAAAACTGCTATAAACAAACATATCATGAATTTAACTTTATGGCCTTTAACCAGTGGTGGGATTCAGCCGGTTCACACTGGTTGAAATGAACTGGTTGTTAAATTACACACACACACACACACACACCGCTCTCAAAGTGGATCCTGGGTGCTGAGCTGCAGTGAAGAAATGGGAAACTGAGTGGTTGGCGCAAGAGAAGGAGGAGGCCGCTTTCCCTTTTCTTCTCCCTGTTCCACCTCCTTTCCTCGTACAAGTCTTAAACTTGCCAAGGTTGGAGGCTTATGTCCTACAGCCCCCCCCCACTTCCTATCTGGGCTAAGAGTCCTAAGCTGGTTTGGATCTCACACACACACACCTCAACAGCCAGCCTTGAACTAACGGCGTGTCTTTTCCCCTTTGCTCCGCCTTCCTCACCTTCATGGGGGGCCTCCCTGCCACCCCCTGCCTTTCCTCGACGGGCGTGCCGTGCCCTGCACCCCTTCCTACCTGCGGCTTGGCGGTAGGACCACGGCGGCTCCCTGGGACCCGAAGAGTTCAAGGCCTGTCTCATCAGCTTGGGATACGATGTGGAGAATGACCGACAGGTACCCGTTGCCCGTGAATCGCGCCATCCCGCCAGTGACGAGATTGCAATTAACCGATTTCCTTTCTCTCTTCCTTCACTGCGTTCTCTCTCTCTCCCCCTTCCCTCTGACCATCATGCTGATGTCTGGTATCTGGTCCCCTTGGACTGCTCCTGCCCCACCCTATCCCCTTGTGCTGACCCCCATCCCAAATGCTTCCCGACTGACTTTTTTTTCTCTGCGTCTTTTCCTCCTCCCGTGGGGTCCATGCTCTTTTCATCGTTGACCCTCGGCATACTTTATCCATCTCTGCTCGCCCACCACTTTTCTTCTTTCCTTCGTTCCCGTCTGTTCTTCCTTCCTCCCTTCCGCCCTTTTCTGTTGGCTGCTTGGAATAGAAGCGCACGGGGAGCATGGATACAGATGACTACAGAGCCCTCCTTATCTCCACGGGATACAGCCTGGTATGCTCTCTGCTTGCGCCTTTCGCTTTGCTTTCTTGCTGCTCTGACGCTGCTGCTGTTGCTCCAGCTCGTCTCTCTCTGCCTTTTTTTGGCGAGGGCCTTCGGGCCAGGCCTTGAATGTCACCTTGGGGAGGGGAGGGGAAATCATGCATACTAGGGTGGGTGGTTGGGTGGGAGAGGACGCGAGAACGAGAAAACACTGAGTTAATGCCCAGACCGGTCTGCATTTTTCAAACTTGGTGACTTTAAGAGGTGTGGACTTCGACTGCCATAATTCCCCAGCCAGCAGGGGCCATGCTGGGGAATTCTGGGAGTTGGAAGTCCACATTGCCAAAGATGAGAAACCTATCAACGAGGGCAAACTTTCTAGAGTTCCTCCTTCGGCACACAATTGTGTGTTCAGAACCCTTCGAAAGTGGACCTGGGCTCTATCATCCTGCAGGAAGAACTGAGCCTTTGTTCTTCTCCCGACCCTCCCTTATCAGGGCGACGCAGAGTTCAACCGGATCATGAGTGTTGTGGACCCCAACAACAGCGGTGTGGTGACTTTCCAAGCCTTCATCGATTTCATGTCCCGGGAAACAACCGACACAGACACAGCCGATCAGGTCATTGCTTCCTTCAAAGTTCTGGCTGGAGACAAGGTGAGCTGAAGGACGTCGCTGCCTGCAGAAGTTGGCCAGGGCTCTTTAGGCAGCTGGGGAGGGGGAGGGTCCCTCCCCCTGCACTCCTGAACTTCCCCACAACTGGCTAACCAGGCTGGGTAGGCATCATGAGCCGTGGTGGCACAGTGGTTAAGATGCAGTATTGCGGGCTAACTCTGCCACTCCGCCAGCAGTTCAATCCTGACCGTCTCAAGGTTTGACTCAGTCTTCCATCCTTCCGATCAAATGAGGACCCAGATTGTTGGGGGGCAATGCGCTGGCTTTATAAACCGCTTAGAGAAGGCTGTAAAGCACCGTGAAGTGGTATATAAGTATATAAATTATATAAATATGTAAGCCTGCAGACTATGGCTATGGCTATCACAGCACCCGCTTCTCTCCCCCGCTCAGAACTACATCACGGCGGAGGAGCTGCGGCGAGAACTCCCTCCAGACCAGGCAGAATACTGTATTGCCCGGATGGCACCTTACCAGGGTCCTGATACCATTCCTGGGGCTCTCGACTACAAATCCTTCTCCACGGCGCTGTACGGCGAGAGTGACCTGTGAGGGTGTGGTGGCGGCAGCAGCGGCGGTGGCGGCAAAGCGCTGGCACTTCTTAGGAAGGGAGGAGGGGAGGCCCATTCCGTTTCCTTCCACACCGTATCTTCGGTTTCTCTCTCTCTTTCTCTCTCTGCCTCCTCTTCTCACTCGCACACCCCCACAGCCACCAGGGACTACTCTTCCTCTCCCCCCATGCTATTTCTTCTCTCTGAAGACAAGTAGCTGCCTCCTCTCGTGTTTTCTTTTTCTATTTTTTTTTTAAAAATTGTGACTTCTACGAGCACGGTTACCTATGCAACAGCCATGGTTCTTTTTTCTTTTTTTTTTCCCCCTCCCCACTTTGGCAAGACACCCCCTTGTTTCCAGCCACTTCAGAGGGACTCAGCAGCCCCCCTTGATAATTGCGTCGCTGTGACGGGCGGGAAGAATCATGGGTGCCAGAGTGCCAAGTCCAGCAAATGAGCGTCCAGATACAGTTTGGGGAGGGGGCTTGTTCAACTTATATCCTTTGGTATGGGGAGGCGGTTGTGTGTGTGTGTGTGTGTGTGTGTGTGTGTGTGTGTATAAAACAAATATATACATACATACATACATACATACATACATACATACATACATACATATATTAAGAACAATATGTATATATATTGTTCAAAAAGTAGGGGAAAGCTTCTTTAACGTCTCTGTTGTCCTGTCCCTTGCTTTGTTTCTCATTCTTCGATTTTAATTTATGTAGCTGGTAGGCAGGAACTTGGCTTGAACAGCGCTGGTGCCTGGACAGTAGGGTGATCCAGCGGGCATCCCACTTTTCTCTGGATGTGTATATGTTTTAATGCAGAACAGGATCCTTGCCCCTTTCCTCTCTTAGGGTAGGCACTTCCTTTCTCATCCTTCGGTGCAAAGACCTTCCTTTGCCGTCCTAAAACCACTTACTCACTTTTTTTTTTTTTTTAAATTTAGCAACGCCAAAGGGAGCTGCCCCCGTGCCCCCTTTTTTCACCTGTGTTCAACACAGTAGGGAAACACAGTTGTTGGATCTGGGCAGGGGGGCTCTCAGGCCCACGATGACTCCTACCTCCCAGCCCACCTTGTTGGAAACACATTTCCTGGGTGTCAGGTGCTTCGAATGTTCTGCCTTAGATGAAGTGGGCTACCTTGGGATTCTGATCTCAAAAGTTATTTGGGTGGAGGGCACTGCTGGCTGAGAATGCAAACACTCCCCACTGTCCAACACAGACACACACACACAAAATCTCTGTTTCTCTGCTGCCCTTTTGACTCTTCTTGGATCCAAGAGGCAAAACAAGCCAGGATTTGCTTGCAAAAAGGTGGCCTTGGGTTTCCCTATTTTTTATTTTTTTTTGCACATTTTCTCTCTCTTCCTCCCACTCCCCATTGTGGGGCAGTGACTAATATAAAGGGAAAGGGAATATTGTCCCATGGAGTATTTGGGAAGGGGGAATTCTTAAGGAGTATATTAAAAGAGGGAAGCTTTGGCTTTGTCAAGCCCAGTGGGACCAATGAAGGAGGCCCGCACAAATGTCAGGTTCGCAAAACAGGGCGGGAAGAAGCCGGTGAACCTTTTCGTCGGGGAAGTCCTCCGAACCTACTCAGCTGTTCCTTTTGTTTTTGGTTTTTGGAGGGCAGCGTCAAACCGAGTCTTCCTTCTCCTTTCCTCTTTTGCTCTGAATAACTCTTGATCCCATTGCTTCACCCTCTTAGGCCTGTTTGTAATTTCTTCTTCATCGTGGTGCAGGTTTTTCTGGGGACCAAATTCAAATGCAAGAGAACCATGCAAATCTCAATTATTGGTGGGTCTTTTTTTTTTAAACAAAAAAAGAGACACAGCAAATTGGTTGCAATTTAACAACAATCCAGATGGTTATTATTATTAAATATAAATATATATATTCCTCTAGCATTGTATATTGTTAATTGATGGGAGGGGGATGCTGTTTCTGTCCCTTCCCCCCTTTCACCCTCTTGTTTTCATCATGTAGTTTTAAGAGTTACCGCTGCCTCTAGCACCAGAAACTAACATTTCCACACTATTTTGGGGGTGGGGGAGTTAGGAGGGCATCCTTTCGGTTTTGTTTTCTCTCTCTCTCTCTCTCCCTCTCCCTCTCTTTGCCATCAGGAAAAACTTTTTCCATCAGGAAAAACTTTTATTTTATTGCAATTGCTACAAAAATCTGTCTTACCAAGGGTTAAAACCCTGATACAATAAGGAATAACCAGGTTCTGTCTGCCTCAATTGGCCGTCAAATCTGTTCTAAAACTTACACATTTTTCTGAGGAAGCAGCTCTCCTTGCTCTTGGGAAAACCAGACAATAAAATATAATATTTTTAAGGGTGACTCCTAGTGTTGTTTTTTCCCCCTACCTCCTTCTCCAAGATGCGTGTAGACTGTTAATGGCTCACCTGTATGTCGTTGCTTTTTTCTCACATTAGAAAGCTTTAATTAAGTAAGAGTCCAGCTTAGCTCAGATTTATCCACTTGCCAAATCGTGGTTAGAGAATGCTGACTCTGGCATTCCTTTTCTAAAGTTGTTCCCCAATCTGGTTTATTGGTAAGCTGCTTTGATCCGAAGCTTAGGAAATCAACTGATCAGAGAAGCGGTCCATGGTAGAAAGCATCCTTCGCAAAGGGAAGCTAACTACCTCCCATTATCAGATTCTACTCCAAGTAATCCTCAATTTACGACCGTAATTAATTGTGCCTGAAGTTATGGTCATAAGCAGAGGTGGTATTCAGCCGGTTCTTACCGGTTCTAGAGAACCGGTAGTGGAAATTTTGAGTAGTTTGAAGAACCAGCCAATACTACCTCTGACTGGCCCCGCCAACCCCATCTATTTGCTACCTCCCGAGTCCCAGCTGATAGGCTGGGTCTTCTTTGGTTGCCCTGCACAGGAGAACGGAGCTGGAAAGCAGGTTAGTGGGATGGGGAGGGAATGGGGATTTTGCAGTAACTTTCCGCTGCCATGCCCACCAAGCCACACCCGCCACGCCTACCAAGCCATGCCCACAGAACTGTAGTAAAAAAAAAATTGAATCCCACCACTGGTCATAAGTCAAGGCATTAATGTGGACAGGCCCTGATTTTATTTTTTATTTTTTTTGCAGTGGTTCAGAAAATGCCGCGGTTGTTAACTGAATCCATTTTATCCAATGGGGTTTTTTGGGGGGGTGGGGAAGGAACTGGGTGTAAACACTGGAAATGAGCCCCCCCCCCCCCCCCCCCCCCAAAAAAAAAAAAATCAGTCACATTACTACAGGACCCTGCAAATGGCTGTAAATTCAAGCCGGTTGCCAAGGCCTTATCACACGACTATATGGGGTGTGAAAATGGATTGAAAGTGGCTTTTTTGGGGGGGGTGGTGTTCAGCCATCTAAAACACTTCAAACCAGATGACTGATAGGATGAATTGGCCATGTATAATGAGTAGGGTTTTTTTTGTAATCCTACCTGAATATCTGTTCCCCCTCTGGAGAACTTCATGCAATTATACATTGTGCTGAGGGTTTGTTTGTTTTTAAAATAAAAGTGGCATTCATTCAATAAATAATTGGGGAGAGAAAGCTGCTATACCTGTGCTGGAAAAGACTTGAGACACCATTAAAAAGATAAGCCACAAGAATTTTCTGTTGATTAAGGGACGGGGTTGAGAAATGTTTCTGAAAAATCTCCCTAATCAAGTATATGTGGATGACAATTTGTCTTCCACTAACCAGTTTGACTGGAAAGAGTTTCGGGGACCAATCCAGTATGGACTTAGGCGACTGAATCAAAAATAACCAGCAATATCTTATTGTTTATTCACTTCCTATTCTAAGCAATATTTTTCTGAAATACGATGGATATAGTAAAAGCTTCTAGGGGAAAATCCATTTATAAATGTTTCTTGGTAAAGTTTTGCTTCCCTGGTTCAACTTTGGCCTAGAATTTCTTCCTACGTTCGAGGAAAATGGTGCAATGTTGAGAATTTTAATCAACTTGGACTCTAATCCTAAAGCAACGTAGGATCTGGTTGTCTTACAAAATTCCCTCACCAAAAAGCCAGAGAAGTTGTGTTCGTACATACAAGTAGTATTGTTTTTATGATTGATTTGATAGGAGACCAACATTTTAATTTGGTGGCCCTGGATGTGGATGAGGAAGAACAAGTTAAAAGTGATGGAAAATTGAAGCCGTGCCTGTGTTTTATGTGTGTGTCGCCTTGACTTTTCTGACCACACCCTTTGGACACTCCTGAAGGCTGCAGTAGATCCAGAAAAATCCAAATAACATTTATTTTTGCAGTTCCAAATAAAAACAGTGACAATAACTCTGTTTCCTTTCATTCGCCAAGATGCCACCTCGGAATGTCAGCAGGATAGTCTTTGATGTTGGCTGCAAAATCAACTTATAAAGTAGCCTGAATGCATAATTTGATTTGCACGATTCTCGTGCTAGCTTTCATCAAACCTAAGATTGCTGGTTTCACTGTTCTTCTCCCAGCTGAAGACGACTTTCTCCAGCTTGATGTCCCCATCCATTCCCAGGAAACGGATGGCCTTGGGTGAAAGGCGGTGGTCAAATTCGGAAAGTAAAATGTTGTTCTCCATTATCTGGGGGGGCGGGAAGCAAAGCAGATAAATCTCCAATTGTAGCAGGAGTCTGATTCCCCCAAGCTTGTTGAAGAGGTTTTATAATCTCTTCTGGGCTTTATAGTTAAGCAAGGTCAGGCCTGGTTAAAATTTGGATGGGAGACCAGCATGTTGTGGGCCTGCGTAAGACCAACTGGAAACTCTTGCTAAGAAACAGACTTGTAAGATAGCACTGTAATTCTGGTTCACAAATGCAACCATGCCTGGAATTAAAAGGTATAGGAGATGTTTCCACCCAGAGCTTTCACACAGCTTATAGCTGTTGGCCATCAAGAAAGCCCTTTGTATCTGTCCTCACAATCCCTTTGAGAGGACATAAGCTAGAGAACAGAGCTCTATAAATCACATTTTTTTGAAAGGAAGTAGCCCTGCTCTTTACTCATTAGATTGGGCGAAGAATACAACAGGTGCTCTTCAGGGAAGTGAGGGGAGTTTGCAACATCTGGCCCAGTTGTGGGGACACAGCTGTCTTTGCTAGCCAAGGTGAGCTGGAAGTTAAATGAGAATTTTATGACACCTCCAGATGGGCTCATATTTGACAGCCAGATTAGCCAAAACATCTGGATGAACACCATATTGGAAAAAGCTCTACTGAATCCCAAATTTTCTTGACTTCATTATCCCCACCCTAAATGTTTATGCTAAAATCCCAAATGATTTTGACTTCCAATATAGCTAGACACCACCACCACCACCCAGTCTATACTTCTTGTGCAACCCTGACAAGTGGCAGGCCCACCCTGCCATCAAGGACAACCAATTCATCCCATCACCTTGTAACTTTTGCTGGTGACGATGAAAGAAATCTTGAACTTTTGGCCTTGCTGGAAGTGAGTTTTTGTCCGGATCTCTTTCCCCCACTGTTGATTTACAAAGCTGTTGAGAGTCAGCACGGGGCTGTTGGAAGACTCTGGGGTTCTCTCGAAGCGGAGCTTGAATTTCAGAGGGATATTGGCCCCGTTGAACTGCCCGTAAGCAAATTCCACATTAAATCTGGAGAAGAACATTGGAGTCTGCTTGATTTTTATTTTATTTTTTGCCTTGTTTCCCTTTGCCCTTCCTTGACCTTTTTCTAGGAGAACCAACTGGCTTCCATGACATCTCGCGTTGATGTTCTCACCGACCATCACTCACTGGGATAGGAAAGATGCATAATCTGCAACATTCCGTTTAGGTCAACCCAATACAACTATGCCAAGCTAGTCAGCTGAGTTCCTGGCTGGGGAATTCTGGAAGTTGGCCCACCTATCTTACAGTAGCACATCTGAGAAACCCTGTTCTAACATCTGGAAGGCAACATATTTGTATAAATGGCCTTGTAAGTTGCAGGGTGGATGGATTGAGCACGGAGCTTTTCAAAGGGGCACAAAAATTCCCTGCTTCCCTAACGCCTAAGAGTTGGCTGGCCACAACTGGATCCGTCAAAAGACCAAGCAACACCATTTACATAGCTTGTTTTCACTTCGATTAGCTTGAAGGGTGCTTAGAGTCAACTCAACCCTGTGGCAAATTAACCATTCCTTCCCCCAAACATGGGAATTCAGTAGCCTATTAAATGTGAGGCATGAACTCAACCCAAATAGTTGTTGGTCCAATGAAAGGGATTGGTGCTGATTGGTTACCCTTTGCTCTGCTTCAGAATGAGGCCTTCCAGCATCACCCAGGAGTCCGCATCCAAGCCCCAGGGGACAGCCCGATTGTAAGGCATGCGCTGCAGGGGAGAAACATCAAAGTGATTAATAGTGCACAATGTTTCAAGTCCTCTTGAGGAAACACCTCTTTAGGCCAAAATGATTGGTCTGGGGCTTGAAAATATGGCTTCAAATGGCTGATGAGAATCTACAGAAGCTTCATGGACCCCGAGAAACAAAAGAGAGTGTCTTTTGTTTCTCAGGGTCCATGAGATAAACTGCTAAAAACTCTTATACTCAGGTTAACTAAAATGGCTCTGTCCATATAATCTGCAAGTTTCAAATAAACTATTACAGTTTATTACAGTGACTCCAAACCTCCATTTAGCCCACTTTGTTAGAGAATCCTGCCAACCCTAACGGGGTTTAGAAAAACCATTAAGATGGGTGCCCTCTTGCAATCATATACAGCTAGTCCTCACTTAACCACCAGTGGGAGTGGCAACCCTGTTTCTAAGTGACATGGTCACAAAGTAATACATGACCGCGATTTGCAATTGTACAGCCAGCTTTTCCATTGACTCTGCTTGTTGGAAGCCAGCTGTAATGAGTACAAATGGCAAATACATGACCATAAGAGGTTGTAATGGCCATAAGTGCAAAGACTCATTGTAAAGTTATATCTTCAGTGCCACTGTCACTTTTGAACTATCACAAAGTAAAGCAGTCACTAAGCAAGATCTACCTCTGTAATAGTGGCGAACATCTACCTCTAATGGATTATATTCTACTGATTTATGAAATGATATGGTAGGTATGATGGGAGAATTGCATTATTTTGTTACGTTGGTTGTTCTACCCTTTTGACTGCACCTGGAAATGCAAACAGGTCATAAGCGAAGCGGCATCTGAGCTTGAGCAAAGAAATACATAAATAAAGTTCTGGATTGAATTTAAATTTATATTCAAGTCCCTGCCCTTTGTTCATGCCATCCTGGAGTTTTCCAGTCGATTTTGCGATGACTGACTTCATGGTGGCTTCCAACCTGTCAGACAAGTTCTGGGGATTTCTGGCCTTGCACTGAAATCTCTTATCTACCAAGAAAATTTCTCTTAAGCCTCTGTTTCTTGCATTTCCACTCTTGCAGAACATTTATGTTTAAACAGCATCTTCCACCTCCAGAGGTAGTGTTAAAAAAAGTGAGTCAGATCTCTTTCAAAAGAGATGCCTGTTGATTCCTCTCTTTCCAAATTTCAAGAGGGGCTGCCACAGAGAGGAAGGGATCAAGCTATTTTCTAAAGTGCCTGAAGGCCCGACAAGGAATAAACAGATTGAGATTCAACCTGGAAATAAGGAGAAACTTTCTGACAGTGAGAACAATCAACCCATGGAACAGAAGTTGCCTTCAGAAGTTGTGGGAGCACCATCACTTGAGACTTTCAAGAAGAGATTGGACTGCCATCTGTCAGAAATGGTGTAAAGTCTCCTGCTTGGGCGTGGGGTTGGAATAGATGACCTATAAGGTTCCTTCCAACTCTGATTATCTGTTATCTGTTAAGATCTTTCATGGTGTTTACTGAGCAACAGCTGAGATCCTAAAGAGAAGCTGCCATCTTTTCAATCCAATTACCCTAAAACCTCTGATGAATCGAACCCTCCAAATCATTCTTTTAGTTCCCTTCCTTTTAGAAAAGTGAACATGAGCGTGTTAAACAGCATACCAGGTGTTTGGTACATGACAGGTAGAGATGGATGGGTGTGAACATAGGTGTGGTTGTGGGCACAATCACATCTATGACTGCTGGGGTTACCAGACAGGGAGAGAGGAAAATCCGCCCGGAGATAGAGAAAGCCCGCCAAAACTGAGCTAAACAGGTATTTGACCAATCACCGACCGCTGACGTCACTGACAAGCGGTATAAATACCCGTTGTGAAGTTATTCAGCGCGCGCTTTTTTTCAAGTCTGAGGGGAAAAGGTTTTTGGTCGCCTCAGAAATGGAGTCCGAAATAGATTCCCAGCTCCTTTTTTATAGTTGTTTGGCTCACCAACCGGCCAGCTTTACAACCGGCCAAAGCTTTAGAGCAGAGTTTCTTCAATGTAAGGGGTGCGTGGACTTCAACTCCCAGGCAGCAAGGGTGAGAAACTGCTTCAAAATGTATTTATTTACGTGTCCTTTAAAAAATACCGCCCATCTCCCTCATATAGGGCGACTTTCCTTGGGAGCTTCCAACCGCCCGGCCTGCTGCTGAAGGAATGCTGGGAAACGTAGTCCTGGAATGCAGCTGCGGCTGGCGGAACTTCCACTCACACCCAAGAGGCCAAACCGGTCTCTGAACCGGTTGGCAGCTGCCTTGCACCCGTGTGCTTTTGGTGGAAAAGAGGGCATGCCGGGTAGGCCTGGCCAGATGGAAGGAGAGGGGGCAAACCGTGATGCCCCCCCCCCCATGGGCAGAAGAATGCAGAATTCAGCCCAAGCCTCTGTCTTCCAAAGCAAAGTCAGGCCATGGGGTCTTGCAAAGCTGCCACTTGGCAGCCTGTCCCTGAATGGATAGGATTTCGGACCTGGAGGACCTTTGGCAGTCCCCCTTTGGTCAGAAGATGAGAGATGGTGCCATCTGCAATTCTGCTTCTAGCTCTCCAAATCCTGGGTTTGGTCTGGTTCTGCATCTCTGTTTTTAAAGCGTGCTGTCCCTTCCGGCCAAGTACACCCACCCAACCAACCACCAGCATTGCACAATGTGGCAAATAGTTCTTCTTTGCTCCAGATGGGGGTCAATGTGGGAACACAGTTGGCAGTGTCTGTCTGTCCAGGTTGGGCTAAGAAATGTTTGGAAATGTGAACGTTTATGAAAAAAAATACACACTCCATCCTTTCTAGCAAATACAAGATGGGGATGCTGGGCTTGAAATCCAAGCTCTGTGGAGGAGAAGCTGCCTGGGTCTGATTCTCAGACTGGTTTCAGGTTTATGCTAAGGTGAGATTAGTGCCGTCCTGGTTTATTGAGTTGGTGGCGCTTTTGTAATCCATTGTGCAGTCAGATCATGTCAACCCTGCACAGGGCCTCTGCATCTTCCAAGCAGAGAATGGTCTGTGAAGTCAAGATGGCGACTGCAAATCTGAAAGGAAAAGCCACGGCTGTTTTTTTTTAATATGCATTGCACTATTTTTCAATTGTACCATTGAAGCCGTCATTTTGACTTTTTGGACCATCCCCTGCAGACATCTCTGAACACAGCCATTAATAGTGACATCCCCTTCCCCTCTCCCTGCCTCCCCTTCAAAGCAACATACAAGCTGGAACTGCTCCATTAATCATAACGGTTGTGCTACTTACGAAAGTCTCAAATTCTACTGCCATCTCTACGGCGCTGGGCTGGAGGCAGGCTGGCAGCACAGCACAGCCTCTTTATAGATGTCCGGGACTACCCTGAGCATTTTCCCTGCAGCAGCCCTGTCCACACCCATCGGGGCACGCTGAGTCAGGCCTCCCCAGGAGGGTGACACCAACCCTGCAACTGCGACCTGATGCCCAAAAGGCAGTTTCACCGGCTCTGCCGGATCCTGGTGGAGAAAAACCAAAGGTTGGGCAATCAAGGAAACTTCAGAGACAATCAGGGTGGGAGGAAAGGAAGTGCAGGGTGGGGCAGAGTCAGGTGGGCCAGTCCTGCAAAGAGACATAAGGCAGAAGCTGCTGCAAGGCACTCTTTTAGTCTGGTGTGGAAAGAGCAGTAGATTATTAACAGGGTAGTTTAGTTGTGGTTTTTTTCCCCTGCCAGGCTACGAAAAGATTTTGACTCAGAAAACGTGTTTTTCTGCTTCCAGTGCCAGTGGGATTTGATTGTCCTTGGAATTTAGGGATCTTCACATTTTTGTTTCTGCAGGACAGTTTTGGTGATGTTGAGGAAACTGTAGACCCCCCCCCCCCAACAGAATATGGATTGAAGCTGGAGCCATTGAAAGCTTCACCCCTTTTGGGGATGCTTCATGTGGAAAGGGTGAGGCTTTGATCTAGTTGAAGGCATCATCTTGACTTTTATGACCCCCGTCTGGTAGATGGCACTAGTTTGAAGGGAGGATTTATCATGCTAATGGAAAGGAATCAGTAGAAGGATTAGATCCAAGTCATTTCAGGAGATACCGTTTTTTCATCACCAGGTTGTGATCCTGGATGACTCATAGCATATGTTTATTGGTCAGTGTTTAGAAAGCAGGTAGAAGATAATGTTTTCATGAGCAAGAAGTTCAAAACTTACCAGTCTACAGGTTGCACAAACACCCTGTGAAAATATATCTTTAAAATATGAGGACTTTCTTCAGCAGAAGAATATTCCTCCTACCCTGATTCTATAGTAGACCAAATTCCTGGAAGATTTGAGTGCATTTGTGAAACAATGAAATGCAAATAAGCATTCCTCGTATATGGTTGTGGATCTCCCCTCTAACCATAAACCTCTCTGGTCAGCCCCAGTGGGCAAATGGGTTTTTCTGACTAAGGGACCACAATTCTGAGGTTTCCAGAAAAGTAGACAAATGTTGTATTACAGCAGTTGCTCTTTGTAGTTGCTGAATCTGAACAAACTCTATTGCTGCTATAAACAGGATTTTTTTATGTTGAGTATTTTTGAATCTAAATGTGCTTTTGAGTTGTACATAAATAAAACCAGTAACTTGGTTATGAATTCAGTGGGTATTTTTAAGTGAGCTATCTTTCCTCTTGAGAGACTATTTATCAATGGAAAGTTTTTAAAAAAATATTTACTATCAGAAAGTAAGTGATGGAGGTGGTTTTTATTTTATTTAGTGTACAGCAGTGCTACGTTAGCCAGGAGACTACAATGCTAATCCAGAGCAGTAGTTTGACTGCCTGTTTGTTACCCCTGTTTGGTTCACTCTCATGCACTTCCCAAGGTGTGCCACAGGAAGGCAAACTAGCTCTGCATCACAAAGAAAAACAAATAGCTTACCTGCAGTGTCATCCAAGGCTCTCTCCCTCCACCAAAGCTATCTCACAAACAGGTGTCGCAACCAGGAAGGTTCAGCACTGACAGGATTCTAACCACATGAAATGCCAGCTCATCTTCCCATTGAAGTGGTACCTATTTATCTACTTGTATAGAACATTCTTTTGAACTGCTAGGTGGGCACAGGCTGAGGCAAATGACAGGAGCTCAGCCTGCTATGACTTGCTAGGACTTGAATCACTGGAGCAAAGACATGTTCAGCATCATTAAGCCACTCAGCCATCGTGCCTCGAGGAGGTGGTTACAGCCTTCTTTAACTTGACACTTCCAAATCTAAAGATTCTACAGATATTATTTGATAGAGGTATGTATAGATGAGTGTTTTTCAACTTGGCTACTTTAAAATGTGTATTCTTCATTTTTCAGCATTCCCAATTGGGACTGGGGAATTCTGGGAATAGAATCATATGCATTTTAAAATTGCCAAGTTTAAAAAAAGCACTGTTACAGAATAGATATAACCCACAATTTGTTAAAGATAATCCCTATACATACACCATCCTAGGAGAAGACAAGAATTAAATCTGAACTAGCAGAGACTGCATAACCAACTACCTAGAACCTGCCTTGGGAACTGGGGGTTACTTTTTAAAAATTCCAAGTTTTGTCTTTAAATTTCAGAGGACAAAATAATAATAAGGCTTGCATTGCTTGATCAAGAGGTTTTATTGAAAAAATTGCTTAATCTTTATTTTGCTCAAGTGTCTGATTCATTGATCGATTCATTGAATGATTTACTGGAACTTTGTAGATCACTCCAGTTCAGCAGAACCCTGAGTGTGCTGGCAGAGAGGGAGAAAAAAGATAACTACCAGTGCTTGTCTTTTGACACCCCCCTTAATATTGGACGTAGGAAAGGATCACATCTCCTTTAATCTCGAATATGTTGATCTGTGGGAAAGGGCTATAACGATGGGCATAGCTAAAGAAGTACTCATCATTGGCATAAACAGTGAATCAATACTGGTCAGAGCTGATTGAGAGCTGGAAAGAGAGGAAGGATGTTAGCACAGCTGAACCCACACATCTGGATCGTCTCCAATCCTGCAGGGGGGGAGATGCATAATGCATCAAAATCAAAAAGCACCCCCCATGCATAAGGGGTGGGATTTCAATGGGGGAGTTGTAGCTCCCATATTTTTTAACAACCCCCCCCCCCCAAAAAAAAAAAAAAAAAACCACCTGAGGGCAATTTTCCAGCAAAGAACTAGAAATGGAATTCTGAATCACACTCTGGAGAACCAATTCCACTCTTCTCCACTAGAGGGGGTATTTATCCCACCAGCCTTCCAGAGATTCAGATTTTAATTCTTTAAGGTTGTGCTAGCTGGAAATTATGGAAGATGGAATCTTACACATCTTTAAGGCACCATGTTGATTTTCTCCCCACTCTCCACTGCCTGCCTATTTGCTTTTCTACCAGCCAAGCTCTTTGCTGGAATCCAGGTAAAATAAGGGCATGACATCCATTGCATAACTATATTAATTTTTTTGACCACCTTTGTATAGAGATACCTCCCTGCTGGAATCAAAGCCAACTCACTTCAAAGTACTGTCCATATTGGAAAGGTCTAAAGGGCAGATCCCGTTCCTCATATCCCCAGGAGCCTTTCAGAAAGCTGTTGCGTACCACAGTTTCCTCATCCAGGCACGGACTAATGTTCAGAGCAA